CTTTTCCTATTATGAAAAGTGTCGCTCTTTTTCTTCACAAATTCAAACGAATTCAAAACCATGTTCCAACACTTTTAAACATCATTGTGTATATCCAGCCATGCCAGCAGTCTTATAAGCCTTCGGAATGTGTTCAACTTCTAGTTGACTAATGAAGTACACGTTTTCTGACTTTTTTTCCTCTTTCATGAGCGTGTAAGATGATGCGTTCCTCTTGTAAAATGAAAGTCCTAGTGCTTATCGTTTTGTACTTGAGTTTGAATTTCATGTGATTAAACAGATCAAAAATGATATGCTAGTGCCATGCACACTGAGCAGCTTTTTTACATGACCAGTCATCTCGTCTACTATACGGAGCTCGGCACTTCTATCATTCGCTTCGTTTACTCGCAGTCATTGACCCAGAGCTCATCGGACATTGCCCATGTTTTTTCGATTGCTACTTAAAGACCTCGCTTTTTCATAAATGCTGTAGGATTCTCGTTAAGCCGAACTTCCTTACATTGTTGAACAGAGCGAATTTAAGGCGTTCCGAAGTACGTGACTACGCTTATCTTTGGTATAGGTTTTGAAACCAGCAACTACTTACCACTAACTACTCCACTATTCTTCTCTCTATCCAATCAGCTGATTTTTAAACTTTCGAAATTCAATAATATCTCGAAATTGGTTTTTTTTTTGCTGAGATGGTTCGGCCAGTAGCCATTCCAGTTGGTCATGAAACTGTGGCTTTTTAGGTAGGACGAGGTCCGTTGTATCCTTCTCCTCGTTTTTAACGAGCTGAATATGACTATTAAACTCTACTCAAAAAGGACAGGACAAGAGAGATCGGGAGTAGTAATCAAATTACCACCGAATACATTATGGCGCCAACTAATTCATAGGCGCTTATACCACCGTCTAAGTGCAATGCAAGATGCATAATATTGTCTTATGACAGAAACGTACGTCAGCCCACTAGACATGCCATGCCAAGCCTATTTAAGGCCTAAAACCTTCTCCCAGACTAGTACACCACTGTTTGCTTGGCTAAGACCCTGTTGCAGAAACGAGTGGTTAATAGGACAATGTGAACGAGGAGGGTCGGCTTGGAAAAGGGGCGGAAAGATAAGAATAAAATTGTTTGTTTCGATAGCGCATAGTTCCGCCGGTAAGCCAGGTACAGGATTATTCGAGGCCTCCAAAAGTTACAACAAGGAGTGGGGGTGGGGGGGTTGAGTATAAAATCAACGAGATGGCTGCCTACTATCCATTCCTAAGAGGATTTTTGAATGCAATTTGCAATTCGCTGCTTTTTTGCATCACATTGCGTTATACTTTGCTTTAGATACACTCATCTCATTTGGCGATATTTGATAAACGCTTGGATAATAATAAAGGATTATCGATAACCAGTCAGAATTATTTTTATTTGACTGTCACTGCAGTGGTATGGTGTTATGGTATAATCCAATAATGTGAAGTGCTATGCAAAAACATTTGCGTCAGCCGGGATTCGAACTCCAATCTCACTCTTTCCGGGAGCGTATGCTGACCATTGCACCATAGACGCTCGTTTTTTCAGCACTCTTTTTTACGCTATAACGCGTTGTCTACCAACAGCCAATCGTTGTCTACCAACAATAAAGGATTACGTGCGAAATTGGACTCGACGTGTTCAAGTAAAAAGTGTACCTCAGGTACTCACCCCGCGCCACTCCTCATTGCCTGACAAGCATTCGCGTTCTTAAAACACCCACATCACGACAATGCAGATGTTGTCTTGAGTGCTATCGTAAGTTAGTGGAATATAACGATGCTAAATAAGAGTCGGCCACATTTGTATAGGTCGAAGAGTTTTTATTCTGTTTGAGTATTTTGCAAAATTAACTGTTGCTTTTAGCTAATGAGGTGATCAACAAATTCCAATTATTACGCTGGCTTCGTTTTTTACCTCAATGTGCCATCGGCTTTTTTTGCTGTGATTTGTTGAAGATAACGCATAACTCGGAATGACAATCTCATGAACATTCCATTTCACTTCGCATCATTTCGTTGAGAATTTACTCCCAAATTATGAAATGTGGGTAGCTGATAAAAAGGAGAGATTTAAATCTGGTGCAAGCCTGAGTAATTCAAATGTAGCTAAGTAATTTAATTCTTTAAAGTTCACGTGTACCGCTCACGGTACGCACTTATTTTCGTGGATTCTCGTCGACCATAAGCTCTTCATTGGACTTTAGGTAGTCATTCGATAGCTAAAAAATTGCGGTTTTGATTGTATTCTTGATTTTTGGAGATGCTTTTTCATTGAGCTGTAGCAGCAAAGAGAATATAGCCTTTTTTTCTTTGGAGTGCGCAGTGTGATTTGCACTCGTGCTTACATGGTCTTTCAACACAACAAAGGTTTTTGACCACAGTTTTAATAGTAGTTCGCTATCCTGAGAAATGGCAATGCTAAGTGTAAACTTAGTTTCTAAAACAAATATAAATGTATGGTATTAATACGCTGTAAAAACGGTGGACAAAAACTGCGCTTCGCTTCGTATCTCATTCATTGTGCAACAGCTATTTTCGACATTCCATTCACTGTTTTCCGATTTTTAGTCACTCTCATAACTCTTAAGTATTGTTTATAAGAAAACAAATGAAAATCGATAATTGTGAGATCATTTTCTCTGTGAAACTTATTACGATTGACAGAATGCCAACATTACTGTGATTGCGTAGTAAAAGAGAGCTTTTCTCTTAAGCATAAACAATGTTTTTGCATCAAAAGCATACCAGCACGTAGATAAGATCTTAAACTATCAAAACATTACAGGTATTCTTCACAGATTTACAATAATCCATAGTATTTAAATTACCAATAGACGCAGCATATCATATGAGCAAAATGGGAATTTCGCTTTGAACTACATGTTTCTTCGTGAGTAATACAGTTAAACTAGTCAAGTAGTTACCAAAGTTATTGCAGACTAAAGTTAATAAAGTTTTTGGAAACTATTTGAACACGCAACAACACGAGAAGCACACTTTGATAATCGACCCTTAGTTCTTTTGAAATCATTCTAAGATTGCATATACACAATTGTTAATCTACTCAGTGGTGGACACCATGACAAGATAAAGGTGATGAATTGATCCGGTACAAAATATGTTTGCTATAAAATAGTTAAAGTGGTAAAGATTAAGTTCAAAAACATGCTAACGAAAGGTGCGCACATTGTTCAGTTTGAATTTCGTTTTCATATAACTTCATTACCCACTGATTGGCCTTCTAAATGAATAGGATTCATGGTGTGAGAATCAAGAATTACCAGTATCTATAGAGTTTTTATTCGTCTCTGTCGTAGACATTAGCTTCTCAATGCCTTCTCCTCATTCTGTTAAAAGCACCTACAGTGTTGAAGAATACCTAATGAAGGCAGCCAGCCACTTCCGAAGCTGATATTCGCTTTGATATTGGATATGACACGAAAATTTCTGTTTGTTTTATTGTTTGGCTGAAGACTTGAAGATTTCGGAACATCGTCCTGGCGCACGTCATCTTTAATATACAAAATATATATATATACAATTCATAGAAATTGCTAGATGTATGCAAAAGATAGGGCAAGTATAGCATAAGCACGACGGTCAGTGATGCTGGTGCAATAGAGAAGTGTTCGATAATTTGACCCTAACTAAGGCGTCATGGACCATGACGCGGTATTGAGCTCGCATGGAAGATTATGCAATAGTGACTATAATCATCGACAGGCCCTTTATAGGTTTTTGTATGGGTCAAATATAAAT